GGTGCAGCCACTTTGGAAAACAGTGTGGAGATTCCTCAAGAAATTAAAAATAGAGCTTCCCTATGACCCTGCAATTGCACTACTGGGTATTTACCCCAAAGATACAGATGTAGTGAAAAGAAGGGCCATCTGTACCCCAACTTTTGTTTTAACATGGATGGGATTGGAAGAGATTATGCTGAGTGAAATAAGTCAAGCAGAGAGAGTCAATTATCATATGGTTTCACTTATTTGTGGAGCATAGCAAATAACATAGAGGACATGTGGAGATGGAGAGGAGAAGGGAGTTGAGGGAAATTGGAAGGGGAGATGAACCATGAGAGACTATGGACTCTGAAAAACAACCTGAGAGTTTTGAAGGGGTGGGGGGTGGGAGTTTGGAGGAGCCAGGTGGTGGGTATTAAGGAGGGCACGTATTGCATGGAGCACTGGGTGTGGTGCAAAAACAATGAATACTGTTATGCTGAAAAGAAAGAAAAAAAAAAGAATCAACTGTGAAGATTTCAAAAGCAACTTATACCCAGACTAGCCCTTTCCCCACCAGGACTGACATATAGATATCTCTGCAGGTAGAACCCATGCAGTCCTCATTTCTTCATCTCCATCTCCTTTGGGTGGCAGTGGCCCAGTGACTGGGGAGCAGGTGCTACCCATAGATGGTGGAAAGAGGACAATATACCATGATACTCATGAGAGTATCTCCTTGATACTCAGAGAACCTCCAGTATCACCACGGTGGGCACCTTGAGACATTTTGGGTCTTATTTAACTTTTATTTTTATTTAATTAATGCATACACTCAATATGGATCTCAAACTCATGACCCCAAGATCAAGAGTCCCATGCTCCTCTACTCAGCCAGACAGCTTCCTCCAGCCAGTTTCCTTACTTCTGTAAATACTCAAGCCTGGTAGTGTCAGGGATATTCATTAGGTTCACCATTGCAAATTAATAAACTCAGGGTCTCATATAGGAACATCTTCCTTCATGAGCTACTGCTAGAAGGTGTGATGGGACATAAAGCAGGACTGCAAAGGCAGGGGTTGGGAGGAGAGAAGTTTATGAAGTGATTGCTTACTAGGTGAAGAGAATCTGTTTGAAATGACTTCTGAAAACAGGTAGCCATGACAACATTGTGAATATACTTACTGCAGTGTAATTCTGCATTTAAATATGGTATAAACAGTAAATTTTATCTAATATTTATTTTACCAAATACACACACACACATACACACGCACACACACACACACACACACACACAAACACAGCTGCACACAGGCACAACCAGAGGCTAGAGCTCTCTGAGGCAGCAGAAAGATAAATAATGGGAGCAGGGTCTATTGTTCCCTCTCCACTGAAAATAGCCACCTAGGGTTGATTTTGGTTTTGAGGCCACTAATTTTTCCCCTGACAGAGATTACCACTCTCTGCCCAGGCACTCTTCCTCCAATGACTTCTCCCTGCATCCATCTTACTAAGACAAGGTCAACAGTCTGAATGCAAAGCTCTGCTTTTCCCATGGCTTATTTCAAGCAAACTTCCAAAGGTTCTCCATATCCTAGGACATGATGTCCAATGTCTTCATTCTAAATTTAGTATACTCAGCTTGTATAATAATCAAAACCTCACACTTATCCAAACTTAAGACTTCTTTCTTTCTCTTATCTCTACTATTAGTTTTTCTCTCCTGGATAACCATACTTTCTGACAGAGTTAGGGCCTAGAATGAGGAGAGACAAGAAGACAAAAAAACTTACTACATGACTCATGTTCTTTTACCTATAATCCAGATTCTGGGGGACACGCATCTCTTTCTGCCATAGACTTTCCATGGGTCTTCAGAAAGGCCGGGTTACCAAGATCTCTTCATCACTCATGGCAGAAAAACAATCCATGCAATAAAAGACCTCAATGTGAGGCAGGAATCCATCAGAATCCTAGAGGAAAACATAGGCAGTAACCTCTTTGACATCGGCCACAGCAACTTTTTTCAAGATATGTCCCCAAAGGCAAAGGAAACAAAAGTGAAAATGAATTTTCACTTCATCAAGATAAGACGTTTCTGCACAGCAAAGGAAACAGTCAACAAAACAAAGAGGCAACCCACAGAATGGGAGAAGATATTTGCAAATGACAGTACAGACAAAGGGCTGATATCCAGGATCTATAAAGAACTCCTCAAACTCAACACACACAAAAAGATAATAATGTCAACAACTGGGCAGAAGACATGAACAGACACTTCTCCAATAAAGACATACACATGGCTATCAGACACATGAAAAAATGTTCATCATCACTAGCCATCAGGGAGATTCAAATCAAAACCACATTGAGATACCACCTTACACCAGTCAGAATGGCCAAAATTAGCAAGACAGTAAACAAGAAGTGTTGGAGAGGATGTGGAGAAAGGGGAACCCTCTTATACTGTTTGTGGGAATGCAAGTTGGTGCAGCCACT